AGGACCCTATTGAAACTGTTAGGGTTATTTTATTAGGGCCCGAGCACTAACAGTGCGAGGACCCTCTTGAAACTGTTAGGGTTATTTTTAGGGCCCGAGCACTAACAGTGCGAGGACCCTATTGAAACTGTTAGGATTATTTTTTTTTTCTTTTTTCTGCAAAGTAAGTGCATTTTCGGGGCCGCAACATGCTCAAAACTCACCAAATTTGGCATGCATGTCAGGACTGGTGAAAAATTTCGTATTTTGTGGGTTTCGTGGATGGGCGGGGCAAAATGGCACGCTAGTGCCACCTAGAAAATTAGAAAAAATTAGCCCCTCGTCCACGTTCAACCTACATGCACGAAATTTGGTGGGGACGTGTATCATATCAAGACGCACAAAAAAAGCCTCAAGAACCCATACCCTAAACTCGACAGGAGGTCCGCCATTTTGAATTTGGCGGCCATTTTTGGACGATTTACAGACTCCTTACTTTAACGAACTCCTCCTAGGGATTTAGTCGGATCAACTTCAAATTTCTGCTGTGCCTTCTGAAGGCATTGACGATGAAAGTTGTGCTATCTGCGCGTTTTCGTCGATGGGTGTGTCCGTGGCGTCGATGATTCGCGGTGAAAACAGGAAGTTGTAGTAACTTGGCTGTAAATGCCCAGATCTGCACGAAATTTAACACATTTGACAAGAGTCCCGCCCTGAACAAATCTACATGCCGACATTCACCCATAGTCATAGCGCCACCTGCTGCAATAGGAAGTGACCTTTAACGAAGCAGCCCCCGCCGCTTGTTTGACCGACATGTACGAAATTTCTGTGGTACATCTACCATGACCAGCCGCACAAAAAAGCCTCAAAACCCATACCCTAAAACTCGACAGGAAGTCCGCCATTTTGAATTCGGCGACCAAATTGTTACGATTTACACACTCCGTACTTTAACGAACTCCTCCTAGGATTAAGTCGGATCAACTTCAAATTTCTGCTGTACCTTCTAAAGCATTGACGATGTAAAGTTGTGCTATTCTGCACGTTTTCGTCGATGGGTGTGTCCGTGGCGTCGATGATTCGCCATGAAACAGGAAGTTGTAGTAACTTGGCTGTACATGCCCAGATCTGCACGAAATTTTACACATTTGACAAGAGTCCGCCCCTGAACAAATCTACATGCTGACATTCACCCACAGTAATAGCGCCACCTGCTGGCAACAGGAAAGTGACCTTTAACGAAGCAGCCCCCGTCGCATGTTTGACCGACATGTACGAAATTTCCTGTGGTACATCTACCATGTCCAGACACACAGAAAAGTCTCTTGGAGCATTGCCCTAAAACTCAACAGGAAGTCGGCCATTTCGAATTTTACCGCCATTTTTGATGATTTACTCATTACGTACTTTAACGAACTCCTCCTAGGGCTTTAGTCGGATCGACTTCACATTTCTGCTGTGCCTTCTAAAGGCATTGACGATGTAAAGTTGTGCTATCTGCGCGTTTTCGTCAATGGGCATGTCCATGCGTCGATGATTCGCCATGAAACAGGAAGTTGTAGTAACTTGGCTGTAAATGCCCAGATATGCATGAAATTTTATACCTTTGACAAGAGTCCTGTCCTGAAGAAATCTACATGCCGAACATTCACCCACAGTCATAGCGCTACCTGCTGGCAACAGGAAGTGACCTTTACCGAAGCAGCGTAGCAAATGCACAGCCGCACTGGCTGAGCTGCAGAATATGCAACGCGGCCGCCTCACACCCCAACACGCTACAGGTGCGAGGGCCCGCCCATCGCTGCTTGCAGCTTTAAAGGGTAACTAAACCCCTGGTCAGAGCCTGACTCCACCCACTAGCAATATTTGAAAAATGCTGAAAAAATGGGCAGACCCCAGCGGGGCTAGGGGGCGTGCACCTGAGACCCGCCGTGAGTGACAGCTGCTGTCAGACTCTAAAATAGAGCGAGACTAGTCTGGAGTGACTCAATAGCTGCCTTTGCAACAGAGCGGCCATTTGAAGTCGAGGACTTTTCTCCCTCACCTTCACCTTCACCTGAAGTGGATGAGGGTGAATTGTATGTATACACAGGGCCAAATCCATTCGAGCTGCTGGCTCAAACTGCGGTCTTAACTCCCGCATCGCGACCGGCATCTGATGACTTATGTCGTCGAGTTGATCTCAATAGCGCACGCTATTGATATTATGCCGCTATATGAAAAAATCCAGCAAAATGCACCGGCTCGTTTGTCGACCCTAGAGGATTAACTTTATCCTAACCATAAATTGTGATTAAAATATCCATGATCACTCACATCAAGACGCCGCTGCGGTGGAGGAGTCCATGCAGGACGAGCAGTGTTTGGCACTGCGTGTGGAGAAGCCCATGTCCACCTCTATTCCGTTACTATCCTGATCACTGTACTAAACACTGATAAATCTATGCTAACTTGAAGCTATCCTAACTGTACTATGCTACTAGCTACACAAAATAATCTAAATTATCTATATAATGCTATGCTAAATAGATGCAACAATACTCTATCCTGGTCGTTTTCAAAAATAATCTAAATAACTATATAAATGCTATGCTAACTAGATGCTATTATATGCTATAGTATCCTGATCGTTTTCAATATTCATAAATCCAACTCCTGACTCCTACAGTAGTTTTGACGGAACCAGATGCTTTTATACCAGGGGCTGCCAAGGGCGTGGTGAGCTCGCACCAAGGGTGTGACAGAGTGCGTCTGAGAGTTCGCTACGTCAGCAAGTACCCCTACTGCAGGAGCTTTCCGTTTAACCTGAAGAGGGCAGCACTCAGACGTTTTTACACCATATATTTGAAAATCAAAACACTTTATACTCAATTGTCAAAAAATGTACTCGAATCAATGAACAGCATTTATGAAGCTCCATTCTTACAGATCATTAACTAAAAAAAGTTGTTTTGGTGTTTAGTTACCCTTTAATTTTTATTTTTTTTATTTTTTCTGCAAAGTAGGCGCCATTTTCGGGGCCGCAACATGCTCAAAAACTCACCAAATTTGGCACTCATGTCAGGACTGGTGAAAAATTTCGTATTTTGTGGGTTTCGCGGATGGGTGGGGCAAAATGGCTCGCTAGCGCCACCTAGACAATTGGAAATAATTAGCCCCTCGTCCACGTTCAACCTACATGCACGAAATTTGGTGGGGACGTGTATCATATCAAGACGCACAAAAAAGCCTCAAGAACCCATACCCTAAAATCGACAGGAAGTCCGCCATTTCGAATTTGGCGGCCATTTTTGGACGATTTACACACTCCGTACTTTAACGAACTCCTCCTAGGGATTTAGTCAGATCGACTTCAAATTTCTGCTGTGCCTTCTAAAGGCATTGACGATGTAAAGTTGTGCTATCTGCGCGTTTTCGTCGATGGGCGTGTCCGTGGCGTCGAAGATTCGCCATAAAACAGGAAGTTGTAGTAACTTGGCTGTAAATGCTCAGATCTGCACGAAATTTTACACATTTGACAAGAGTCCCGCCCTGAACAAATCTCCATGCCGATATTCACCCACAGTCATAGCGCCATCTGCTGGCAACAGGAAGTGACCTTTAATGAAGCAGCCCCCGCCGCTTGTTTGACCGACATGTACGAAATTTCTGTGGTGCATCTACCATGACCAGACGCACAAAAAAGCCTGAAGAACCCATACCCTAAACTCGACAGGAAGTCCGCCATTTTGAATTTGGCGACCGATTTGGGAAGATTTACACACTCCGTACTTTAACGAACTCCTCCTAGGGATTTAGTCGGATCAACTTCAAATTTCTGCTGTACCTTCTAAAGGCATTGACGATGTAAAGTTGTGCTATCTGCGCGTTTTCGTTGATGGGTGTGTCCGTGGCGTCGATGATTCGCCATGAAACAGGAAGTTGTAGTAACTTCGCTGTAAATGCTCAGATCTGCACGAAATTTTACACATTTGACAAGAGTCCCGCCCTGAACAAATCTACATGCCGATATTCACCCACAGTCATAGCGCCATCTGCTGGCAACAGGAAGTGACCTTTAATGAAGCAGCCCCCGCCGCTTGTTTGACCGACATGTACGAAATTTCTGTGGTGCATCTACCATGACCAGACGCACAAAAAAGCCTCAAGAACCCATACCCTAAACTCGACAGGAAGTCCGCCATTTTGAATTTGGCGACCGATTTGGGAAGATTTACACACTCCGTACTTTAACAAACTCCTCCTAGGGATTTAGTCGGATCAACTTCAAATTTCTGCTGTACCTTCTAAAGGCATTGACGATGTAAAGTTGTGCTATCTGCGCGTTTTCGTTGATGGGTGTGTCCGTGGCGTCGATGATTCGCCATGAAACAGGAAGTTGTAGTAACTTGGCTGTAAATGCTCAGATCTGCACGAAATTTTACACATTTGACAAGAGTCCCGCCCTGAACAAATCTACATGCCGATATTCACCCACAGTCATAGCGCCATCTGCTGGCAACAGGAAGTGACCTTTAATGAAGCAGCGTAGCAAATGCACATCCGCACTGGCTGAGCTGCAGAAAATGCAACACGGCCGCCTCAGACCCCGACGTGCTACAGGTGCGAGGGCCCGCCCATCGCTGCTTGCAGCTTTAATTCTTTTATTTATGTTAATAAATGCACTGAAAACCAAGCCAACTACCTTATGTCCTCCACTTATTTGTCACGGCTTTGAGCCGGGCGTGACAAATATGGGGGCTCGTCCAGCCAATTTGATAAAGTTTTGTTCGTAGTTTGTTAGAAATTTGATCAAGTGCGTTTGATTTGGCAAGAGAAGTTTATTCGTCTATTGGGTTTTTTGTTAATGTGGTAAACTGAGGTTTATTATTTGTTGGAATAAATTTATTCGTTAGAATTTAATTATTTATTTATTTATTCGATCATTTTCGTTAAATAAAATTTGTGGAGGGTGTTAATGGTTGGTTTGGTTGTTCTGGCAGGTTACGGGAGTTTTATTTGGTAACTATTGGTTTGAAGAAGATATTTTGGTTTAGGCTTTTTCCCTATGTAGGTTTAGCGGGATATCCTTGATAGGATATTCCGATTTTTTTTTATTTTAGTTTGTTATTTTTGTACGGTGAAAGCAGTTAGAGCATTTGTCTCGGGAACACGTCCGTGTTTGTAGTAGTGACTCGTTAATTGGTTGCTATTGCAAACACTGGTTTATAGTGTATAAAAACCCGCTGCAAGTAACTGTATGAAGATTAGGGATGAGTTTAGGTAGTTTAAATATTAGTTAGAGGGAATTGCTTATTCCAACTTCTTTCTTTAAACTTGTTTTGTTTTCTTGGAAGTTTAGTAGCCATTTGTGACTCATAATGTCCTCATACGTTGAAAAATTTGTTGACGCACCGTCTGAGAGCTTGTTAAATGACTTGACCAAGGATCAATTATTAGAACTTGCAGAATATTATGAAATCAATCTCACGAGTCAAGATAAACGTCTAAAAGATCAAATTAAAGCCTTGGTAAAGACAGAGTTAGTTGAACGTCGTATTTTAGAGTCTCAATCTTCAGAAGACACAAGTGCGTCATCAGCACAGTCTCATTTGACGTTTGAACAACAAAAGCAATTATTGTTAATTCAAGCAGAGATTAAAGAGAAACAATTAGAAGCACAAAATCACATTGAAATCTCTAAGGTCAAATTACAGCAACAACAATTGGAACTTGAACGGTATCGTTTGGATTTAATAAGGGATGGTAAACTTTCTCTTACGGGAGAAGCAGCAGGCGATTCAAGTTCATGCAAGTTTGATACGGTGAGAAACATGAGGTTGATTCCTAAATTTGATGAAAAAGAGGTTGAGCGGTTCTTTTTATTGTTTGAACGTGTGGCAGATGCACAACGTTGGCCAGATGAAGAGCGAACTCTTATGTTGCAGTCTGTATTTACGGGCAGAGCTCAAGAAGCGTATTCTTCCCTCAGTGTAGAGGATGCTTCTGATTATCAAGCTGTAAAAGCAGCAGTGTTGAGGGCTTATGAACTAGTACCAGAGGCCTATAGACAACGGTTTAGATCCTGGAAGAGAGGTGAAGAACAGACGTATGTTGAATTTGTACACGATATTTCGGTTTATTTTAATCGTTGGTGTGTAGCGTCTGATGTAAAAACACTTGACGATTTAAAAGAGTTAATGATACTTGAACAATTCAAGAGTTCCATTGCAGATCGCATTGCAACTTACATTAACGAGCGTAAACCTGATACTGCGTATGAGGCGGCCGTCATGGCTGATGAATATTCGTTGTCTCATAAAAATGTTTTTTGTTACAGATCGAGTGGAGAGAATTTCAGAAGAGAGCCATGGCGAAGTGCTAACAAATTTATTAGGTTGGGGAATGAGTTATCCAGCAGACAATTGAATAGCTCTGAAGAGAAAGACAGAGAGAATATGTGTAATTACTGTCATGAGTTTGGTCACTGGAAAAATGAATGTCCCTTGTTGAAAGCAAAAGCTGACAATGTGAAATCTAAGTCTTGGTCTCCTGCAAAGTCTGTGGCTTTGGCTGTGTCTACTTCAACAGTGAATAATGTGCAGAAAACTTGCTCACCGTGTGGTTCCACATTTACTCCTTTTGTTACAGAAGGGTCTGTTAGGTTGGTAAATTCCGCAAAAAACATACCAGTAAAGGTTCTACGTGATACAGGATCATCAGAAACCTTTGTGTTAGAGTCTGTATTACCGTTTTCAGCTGATTCTTATACTGGAAGTAATGTGCTGATTAAGGGCATTGGCTTGAATGTTATGTCTGTTCATCTGCATAAAGTTATTTTGCATTCTGTATTGGTCCAGGGAGAAGTGGAGGTGGCTGTTCGTTCCTGCTTGCCTGTGGAGGGAATACAGGTAATTCTGGGGAATGACTTGGCTGGTGATCGAGTGTGGCAGAATGACTCTCCACATCTAGTGGTTACATCATGCCCGGTGGTCTTGAAGCCAGATGGCGGTGAGAGTTTGAACTGTGCAGGTTTGTTACCCACTTGTGTGATAACACGATCCATGAGTAAAACACAAGTTGAGGAAAAACATGAGTCTAAGAAGGTGAAGGAAATGTTAGAAGTCCCATCAATTCTATCAGTGTCGCGTGATGAATTGGTTGAAAAACAAAAGTCTGACTCAACTCTTGGTGAATTATTTGACCGGGTTGTATCATGTGACACAATCGAGAATCTTTCGTCTGGGTATTACCTAGATGGGGGTTTGCTAGTTCGCAAATGGGTGCCACAGGCAGAGTTTGCATTGGGTGATCCCGTGGTGCAAGTGGTAATTCCTCAATCTCTCCGACAACTAGTGTTACAGACAGCTCATGATAGCTCTGGCCATATGGGAGTGAAAAAGACATACAAATTACTGTTGAGACGGTTTTTTTGGCCGAAATTGAAGCGGGATGTGTCTAAATATATAAAATCTTGCCACACATGTCAACTTATTGGAAAGCCAAATCAATCTTTGAAGCCTGCTCCTCTTTTTCCAATTCCAGCCATTAGTCAACCATTTGAACATCTCATTGTAGATTGTGTAGGGCCGTTGCCTAAATCAAAAGCAGGCAGTGAGTATTTACTTACAGTCATGTGCCAAGTGACTAGGTATCCTGCTGCATATCCGTTACGTTCTGTGTCGACAAAACTAGTTGTAAAGGCGCTGACTGGGTTCATTTCAGTATTTGGAATACCGCAAATAATACAGTCTGATCAGGGAAGTAATTTTACTTCTAAAGTGTTTGGTCAAGTGTTGAAACAACTTAAGATTCAGCATAGTCTCTCCAGTGCTTATCATCCTCAAAGTCAGGGAGCACTGGAGAGATTTCATCAAACGCTAAAGTCACTTTTGAGATCGTATTGTGTTCAATTGGGTAAGGACTGGGAGAGTGGTCTGCCTTGGTTAATGATGGCTGCTCGGGAAGCTGCGCAAGAAAGTACTGGGTTCAGTCCGAATGAACTTGTTTTTGGACATGATGTGCGGAGTCCGTTGTCTGTGTTGTCTGCTGACTGGGAAAAGTCTGATCCGCCGAAAAATGTTTTGTCTTATGTTAGTGATTTTCGTAGACGAATTTATGAGGCGTGTCATTTGGCGAAGTCATCTTTGAGAAAATCACAGGATCGAATGAAATCACTCTTTGATCGTCGAACAGAGTTGCGTTCGTTTCAACCGGGTGACCAGGTACTGGCATTGTTGCCGGTCGTTGGGTCGCCATTTCAGGCAAAGTTTGTCGGACCATATACTGTTGCTCGTAAGATGTCTGATTTGAACTATTTGATAAATACGCCAAATCGACGAAAAAAGACTAGAATATGTCACGTAAACCTGTTAAAACCTTATTATGCTTGTAAAGATTTCGAAGACCAAATGACAAAAGACCAAGTTAGTTTGCCTGATTCCTTTGTTAAACCTGTTATGCTTACAGATTCTTCTGTTAATGACGACCGTATAGAGTTGGTTTCGACTCCAGTGACTGTGGAGGAAGGTGAAATCTATCCAGGAGATTGTGTTCTTCAAGGTCGTCTTAGGAATTCAGAAGCCTTGGGTTCTTTGGATGTTCAGCTTGGTCATCTAACGAATGGACAGCGGTCTGATTTGATTAATTTGATTAAGGAATATGTTACATTATTTTCTGATACTCCTTCTTGTACAGATTTAATAGAGCACGACATTGATGTGGGAGGTGCAAATCCAATTCGTCAACGTTATTATCGAGTTTCGGCAAATAAGAGAAAACAATTGGATGATGAAATCGAGTATATGTTGAAAAATGGAATCGCAGAACCCTCTTTTTCCAGTTGGGCTTCCACTTCTTTATTAGTGAGTAAACCTGATGGGTCATTTAGATTCTGTACGGATTACCGCAAGGTAAATGGCGTAACAAAACCTGATTCTTTTCCGCTACCTCGAATTGAGGATTGTGTAGATCAAGTAGGAAATGCTAGGTTTGTGAGCAAGTTTGACCTTTTAAAAGGTTATTGGCAGGTGCCTTTAACCGCAAGAGCTCAGGAGATTTCGGCTTTCATTACGCCATCAGGGTTATTTTCTTACAACGTCATGAGTTTCGGTTTGCGTAATGCTCCCGCAACGTTTCAACGTTTGATGAATCGTGTGATAACGGGTTTGAGTGGCTGTGCTGTATATTTAGATGATGTTGTTGTTTTCAGTCAAACTTGGGAGGAACACTTGGTTCGGATTAGAGCACTGTTTGATCGTTTTGTATCAGCCAACTTGACTGTGAATTTGTCAAAATGCGAATTCGCAAAAGCCACCGTAACCTATTTGGGAAAGGTTGTTGGGCGAGGCCAAGTACGTCCTGTTCGCGCAAAGGTTGAGGCGAATGATAAGTATCCTACGCCAAATACGAAAAAAGCTCTAATGCGATTCCTGGGTATGGTGGGATTTTATCGTTGTTTTTGCCGAAATTTTTCGACTGCTGCCGTGCCCTTGACAAATTTGTTAAAGGGAGGAGTGGATTTTATCTGGACACCACTTTGTCAACAAGCGTTTGAGCGGGTAAAAATGCTTCTTACAGAAGCTCCCGTATTGGCAGCTCCGAGTTTTGATCAAGCGTTTAAGTTACAAGTCGATGCCAGTAATGTGGGTGCTGGATCTGTCTTGTTACAAACATCTGAGGATGATATCGATCATCCGATTGGATTCTTCTCTAGAAAGTTTAATTTATATATGCTTAATTATTCTGTGATAGAGAAGGAAGCGCTTTCTTTGATTTGGGCGTTACAACATTTTGAGGTGTATGTTGGCTCGTCAAAGGGACCTTTGGTGGTCTATACGGATCACAATCCTTTAGTTTTCTTACACTCCTTACAAAACCCCAACCAAAGGTTGATGAGATGGTGTCTGTTTCTTCAGAGTTACTCCTTGGATATACGCCATATTAAAGGAACAGAGAATGTAACTGCTGATGCCTTGTCCCGTGTTTAATGGATTTGTAGTTTGCATCCTCTCTGACTGTCTATCTTTTTCTTTCTTAATTTTGCTTCCTAGGCACCAGGTTGCTGAAAGTGGGAGAGTTTACGGGATTGCAGGCCGAATCAACTATTGCTACTTGGACTAGTTGAATTGTGGGAGTTGTTGTTTTTTTTATTAAGACCCTATGCTCTCTTCTTTTTAGGGGGGGTGTGTGACGCGTCTCCGATTGTCTCCGCTGTTGTCGACCGGTGGGCGTGGCTGGGAGACGTGTCAAGAGAACATTGTACACCTGTGCAGGATTAGCAAGTGATCTACACCTGTATATAAGCTTAGGCTTTGAGAATGTTAGAGGAAGTTTTTTGAGATCTGCTGAGCCTGCCAGACGTGAGAGTGAAGCTCCCGTTCTTTTTGTGTTGGGTTTGTTTTGTTTCCCTTTGCTATGATTTAATCTTAGTTCTGTCTGACATTTTCAACATCACTTGTCAGACAGAAATGGTATTAGTGTTTAAATTGTTTATTTATTCTGTTTATTCTTTTATTTATGTTAATAAATGCACTGAAAACCAAGCCAACTACCTTATGTCCTCCACTTATTTGTCACGGCTTTGAGCCAGGCGTGACAATAGGGACTCACCCTCGATCCTGTAGAAGAGATGTTTTATTTGGCATATTTTATTGTTTTATTGTTTTATTGTTTTGTATTTCTAATTCTATTTATTTTAATCCATTTTACCTTCCTTTAAAACAACACATGTCAACATACATGGACTTTACAAAACACACTAACATAACTGATTTTTAACTGTAAATAATGTCCTTTTGTTGTTTTAAGATATGTGAAAAAAAATGTGATGTATAAGGAAAAAATGGATATTGATATTGAAAGAAAACAATGGAAACAATAAACCTTTTTTGAAAGAAAAAATCTGTTCTTATCAGATGGGCACTCCAAGAGAAGAGATACCTGTGCCGACCACAATGGTGCGGCTGAAAAATACGGCCAGACTTCAAGTGAAGAAAGAGGCAGAGACTAAAAGGAGATTTGGACGAGACTTCGTTGTTGTGGAATTACTAAGAGGGATTTTTGGAGTTCCTGCTTCCCTGATTTTTTGTCTTCAGGATTTTTTCTCATCTGGATTTATGGATTTGACCTTTTTTCAACTGAAAGACTGCGTTACCTTTTTTGAGGATTGGGAAAATAAAAAAGATATCCAGCTCCTTAGAGGCCTACATCTTCATCCAGCCTTTGCACAAGATTACTTACCTTTGGTGATCCACCTCTACAACCCCTTTGTAGAAGATGGAGATGTCCTCACTTTTCTAGCAAGATACTGTGAGGCAGTGAAAGGAGGTGAGCAGCTTAAAGATCATCATGGCATCTGGATGGGAAAGAGGAGATACCTAGTAAAGCTGAGGGCTGATCCAACAGCGCCTGGAGGTCTTATTCATCCCCCAGTGTCCTTTTTCATCGGTTCCAACCGAGGTTTTCTTCATTATCCGGGGCAGCCATTGTATTGCCGAAGGTGCGGGGCTCGGGGTCCTGTTAAGACAGACTGTGCTGGTCAACGGTGTCGCCTTTGTGAGTCAACAGACCATATAGCTTCAGCCTGTCCCGAGCCCAAAAAATGCAGCCAATGTGGCAGAGTCCATCATCTGTTTCGTGATTGCCCGACTAGAAAGAAATCCTTTGCCAGCCTTTTTAAGGAAGGACAGGATTTGCAGGCGGATCTTGAAGCTCTACTCACAATCTTACCGGTAGAGATGGAGAGCCAGGAAGCAGGTCCCTCTAATGCCAATTCAGGAGCAAGCGATCCAAAAGGCTGTGTTGACGAGGGGATGGTGAATTCCAGGGAGCAAGTGAGAGGAGAGGACGGTGGGCAACAGCTGACTACATCACAGGAATGGTCAGAAATAGATGTGGCTGAGGTGTTCTCGGGGATCTTTGAGGAGTCTGGGAAACCAGCATTGAGCCCCTTAGGCACAAGCGCAAGACCGTCCCCTTCAGAGGGGGGAGACAACTGTTTGCAAGAAGATGTTCCAATGAGCAAAGAAATGGAGGTTGGACAAGGACAGCGACTACGGCGGTTTACCGAGACTGGGGACATGAAAGGGAGTCCAAGTACATTAGGGTAGGACTCTCAAAAGTGTCACAGGGGCAAGTTCCGGTACAGATCTGGGACGGAGAAGAAGAGATTATCGGGGGGGAAGAGGTCGAGATGGAAGGGGAAAATGGAAAGGGGGTGAATGAAGGAGCAAGTGGTAATACAGATAACGTAAATATTGAAGATGAACTGGGTAAAGGAGAAATGGAAGAGAGGGAGGAGGGAGGACAGGAAGATATGAAGCAGGTGGCGGCGCGTGCACAAGCAGCGGCTCCTCTCAGTCCCAGTAATGGTGTTTACGTGTTTACCCTCGCATAAGTCGTTGAATTTGAGTGAGAGTGAGTGTTTGTCGCGTTTGTCTAATGTTAGGCGCACATATGATCGGATGTTTATGTTAGACATAAACAAAGCTTCTTATGAGTTAAGCCCTGTGGACACTGACGAGCTTCGGACACTGGGATTACTTCGCCGGCGGCCTACTACATCACCGACCTCGACTGCTGTAATCCAACTGCTGAGAAGGCGCCGTAAGCGGTTTGAGAGGAAACAGAAGAGGGGAAAGCGTGGAGGTATCCGAGCTAGGCTAGCGGCCAGCCCACACAGGCCGGCTATTTCAACCATTTTGCTTGCCAATGTACGCTCTTTGGATAATAAAATGGACCATATACGGCTATTGAGATCTGTCCAGCGGTCATTTAAAGACTGCTGTGTTTTTATATTCACGGAGACGTGGCTCAAGGACAATATTCCGGACTCTGCCATTCAGATTGATCAGCTGACGTGTCATCGAGCGGACCGAGTCCTCGTCAAGGGCGGTAAGACCCGCGGTGGCGGGGTCTGTGTGTACATCAATGATGCTTGGTGTCGGGACACTGTGGTAGTCTGTAGACATTGTTCACCGCAAGTGGAGTTTATTATCCTCAAGTGCCGACCCTTTTATATTCCGAGGGAATTTACCGCAATCTTGTTGGTCGCTGTTTATATTCCACCTAGCTCTAATAATAACGATAAGAACGAAGCACTCAATGATCTGTATCATGCCATTAATGAACAACAGACAGTACATCCAGACGGATTCCTTATACTGGCTGGAGATTTTAACCACACAGACCCTAGATTTGTGTTTCCAAAAATATACCAACATGTGGACTTTCCAACGCGGGGGGAAAATACTCTGGATCTGGTATATACAACTCAAAGAGGGGCATATAAAGCTTCACCCCTCCCTCCCATTGGTTTCTCTGACCACACCACTGTCATGTTAACACCAGTATATAGACCAAGGGTGAAAGTCAATAAACCAATCCAAAGACAGGTACGTATATGGCCAGAAGGTGCTTCCTCAGCACTTCAGGATTGTTTTGCCACTACAGACTGGGACATGTTTAAAAAGGCTGCAACTTACAACTATCAGACTGATATTCAGGAATATACTGAGACAGTTATTGCCTACATCTCCAAATGCATTGACGATGTAACTGTAACAAAGACTTTTTCCATACGTGCTAATCAGAAGCCATGGCTGACAGGAGAGGTTCACAGTCTACTGAGGGCATGGAATGCTGCCTTCAGAGTTGGTAATGATGAGGGCCTGAGGATGGCAAGGGCCAATCTGTCCCGAGGCATCAGAAAGGCTAAAAGACAGTATGCTAAGAGGATAGCCCAGAACTTTGAAGACAGCAGAGACACAAGGAGACTGTGGCAGGGAATCCAGACAATTACGGGTTACAAGCCCTCACCACAGACCTGTGATAGTGACATCTCTTTGCTAAATGATCTCAATAGCTTTTTTGCACGCTTTGAAGCACACAACTCCACTCATGCACAGACGACTTTACTACCTGATGATGACCAGGTTCTGTGTCTCTCTCCGACCAGCGTGATGAGATCCTTTTCCAAGATCAACACCCGAAAAGCAGTTGGTCCAGACAATATACCTGGTCGGGTACTAAAGGATTGTGCAGGAGAGCTCAAAGATGTCTTCACGGATATCTTTAATATTTCTTTGAGCCAGGCTGTTGTACCTACATGCTTTAAATCTACTACAATAGTTCCAATTCCAAAGAAATCAACTCCATCCGTTTTTAATGACTATCGCCCAGTCGCACTGACTCCTATTGTTATGAAGTGCTTTGAACGGATAGTCCTGCAACACATCAAACATATTCTTCCCCCCTCCCTGGACCCTTTCCAGTTCGCATATCGAGCCAACCGATCCGTCGATGATGCAGTCTCTTTTGCTCTTCACTCAGCTCTCTCTCACTTGGAAACAAAAAACTCTTATGTGAGAATGCTTTTTATAGATTTTAGCTCGGCTTTTAATACCATCATTCCACAGCAGTTAATACATAAACTGGACCAGCTTGGCTTAAACAACTCCCTGTGTAACTGGTTGCTGGACT